ACACCTTAAAATCAACATGCCCTAATCTGAGCTTATCTTCTTTCCATTAAAATTGCCTCCCCATTGAAACATCCCCAATCACAAGAATGGTACCCATAATCTAAATCCAGAAATTTGAGACTATCCTTGACTCCTCCCCCATGTCTTTTTCTTGTCAGTTCTTCCTCCTAAGCAGCTGTGACATTTGTCCACTGGTACATCACTCCTACTGGTACTGCCCAGTCTAGTGCACTCTCACCTCTCACTTGGAGTGGAAACAGTGTCCTAATGAGTGTCCCTGCATCTAGCTTCTCTCCGCCCCAACCACTCCATTCTCATGGTCAGCCACAGTGATCCTTCTAAAAGGCAAGTCGATCATGTCTTTTCCTTTTTATACTTTTTCAATCGCCTTCCATCATTTGGGGGATAAAAATCTAAGTTCCTTAAATGAGGCTTCCACAGCTCTTCACTATCCAGGGGCTCTCCTACCTCTCCATCTTGGCGTCTTGCCAGCCCCCTGCCTGTCTCCATTTGTGATGAACTCTCCTTACCTGAAGAGAAGCCCCTATGCATGTGAGCTCTCCTAGCTAGGCCCGTAATCGGCTGCTCTCATTTCTTGGAAATGCCTCAGCCTTAACTGAGGGATGCTCCCCAGGGAAGCCTTTCTTGGCCTCCTGAGTGATGTTTACAGCCCAATAACCAGCAGAGCCTCCTAATTCCCTCCTCTGATACTTCCCCACTTCATTCTTTCTCAGTTGTCCTCCTCCGGTGCTAGACTGTTAAGAACTGATGAGTAGAAAACTTGTCTAAATCACCCACTATTGTATCAGACATAACATTGGTTGACTAAATGAATGAGACTTACAAAATAAATATGTCATCTTTGATAGATGCTCTAATAGAGGTATTCACAGACTGCTATGGAACCCAAATGAGGGACATCTAAATTGGAGTTGGGGTTCAAGGAACACAAACTGCTCCTAGCACAGTGCACAACACATAGTGAACTGAGTGTGAAGCACCAATAAATGAATGAGTTAATCTGTCTCTTCATGGTGAAGGGTGGCAAAATATGCCACCCCAAAATGTGCCTCTTTGGCATGAGAGCTGATTATTTGAGCTGATGGCTTTGAAAAAGAACAGACAGAGAAGGTTTGAAACAGAGTAGAAATTACCTTTGTGTAAGCAAAATTTATATTTAGAAAGGAAATCTCCATTTGTAAGGATCTCTCTCTCTCTCTCTCTCTCCCTCTCTCTCCCCTGCCCCAAAAAGGATGAATTTAAATTATCAGAAACTCTTATCAATGGTGATTTAAGAGAACTTAATTCTACATAATAAACCCTACTTTGCATTATCATCTCCCCATAACTGGCCTTCCCCATTTATTTTTATTTCATTTTTAAATTTTCTTAAAATGGTATTTGGGCCCGAATTCTAAGCTACCTCTTTCAGACTTACTCATTTTTCTCTGGGTATCTCCCAAGTATTATGAGGTACACATGTTAATAAACTTCTGTTTGTTTTTCTTTTGTTAATTTGCCTTTTGTTACAGGGGCCCCACCCAGAGAAGTTAAAAAATGAAGGGAATGTTATTGTTTTCCTTCCCTACAATGGGAAAAATGACATTCCAGGAGAGGAAACAATGCATGTGGAATCATGGAGGTGTGAATCAGCAGAGAAGTTATAGGAAGTACACATTGTTCTACACGGGTGGAGTAAAGAGTGCATGGCCAGCTGCTGGAAAAGGAAACTATTTACAAAGATGGGCAGGACCTGATCATAAACCATGGATCACAAACCAAGGAGTCTCTATTTTATTCTGAAAGCTATAGGGATTCAGGCCAGGAAGTGACATATATTTTGGAAAAAACATTATGGCTGTCTATAGAGAGAAAAATTAGATGGGTGGAAGTGGGGGGAGGAGTGTGCTTGTGGCAATTTGTGGTGGTAGATTTGACTAATCAGTAGGGGTGGGGGATGGGCAATCATTCAGGCCTGAAGTGTTAAGAACCTAAATAAGGCAGTGGCAGTAAAGATACACCCATAGGGCTTGGTGATGGAGGGGATAAGGCAGGGTTAGTAAGCAGGGAGGGCTTGGGATCATTCACAGGGTCCTGGTTCAGGTGAATGAATGTGTGGATGGCAGTCTCTTCAACTGAGCGTTCGGGCTGGTTTGGAGGGAAGATGAAGAAGGTAATGGATTGTATCCAACATGGATACAAGCTTCTATCCAATAGAAGCAATAGTAGCTCGATCCTCACACAATACCACAAAGCTTATTTAACCAGAATGTAGCCAAGGAGGCTCAAATCTGAGTGCCAAACTCATTCCCGAAACCCCATCAAGCCCTGAACTATTCAGAGACAGAGGCCACATGGTGCCTGGGGTCTCCCTGTCTCTTGAACACTTCAAAACCCTTAGTGAGAAGATGAAGGCAGGAAAACAAAACAAAACAAAAAAAACGAAACTAGGTGTGGTGTGGAGCAGTTGGGTGGTTCTAGGAGTGAGAAGCTGGACGCAAGGCTGAGGTGAGAGTGGGGGTCAGCTGGCAATTTATTTGGTAACAGGAATGGACAGAGAGAATATGGAGGAAGAGGACACCGGAGGGAGGCTCAGTAATAGGGCAGGAACATGGAATGCAAGACGAAAGCCTGCAATGAAAGGAAAACATGGCAGTGGCCATTTTATAACAATTTTAAGTGTTTGGTAGCTGAGAACGGGCTGCGAATGGAAATCTTTTTCTAACACTGTTCACAATGCTGTGGGTCCTTATTAGACGCCATTCACAGTACTAAGTTACAGGGTCAGCGTAGGGCCTCCAGTGCCCAGCATGACCTCATGCATAGGTCAGGCACTCTATCAACATTTGTTGGCTACGTTGATAAGTGAACACCAAAGGTATAAACAGTGCTTTTATTTAGGAGGAAATCTTGCCATGGAAAACAGTGGAGCGGAGCTTCACGAAGGTTTGGCGTAGTCCTAATGGAGCTTGTCTTCCATGGGGGTGGAGTGGTAAACAAGTCTCCTAAGTAACTTGATGACCTATTAATGACACTACACAGCAATCAGTCAAGCACTTGGGACCTGGTGTGATGGATACATTGAGTCCGATCAACCAATCTATCAAGAATCACAAAGCAATTGAGAAGCTCAGCTAGAAGAGATGGAAGTGCTGATGTGAGAACCCCAGATGCCTGGTTTCAAGGCAAATTGAGCTGAAGTACCCCCTTCGTCTATCAGCCTAGTTTCTAGAATTAGCAGTGAGCTCAAGAGATGACATTTCTCTCTTGAATCAATGAGAGGGCTGTTGCTCAGCTGTAAACAGGGAATTTAGATTACTCCAATGTGTGATCATTTCATGTTTTTAAAATATGCAGTTGGCCATAATTTTCATTACAACAAGGTTTTAGTATAATGCCTGGGAATTGAAAGCTCTGCACAAGGCTCTGTTGATTCCAAGCTTAAAGGTTACATAATATCATGACATGATAAAAAGGAAAACCTCGTTCTTACGGAAGATACCCTATCCACACACAGGAGTGCATGTGTACCTAGATTCACCTACTTGTATTCACCATGGACCTGAACTTACTAGCACAGGCTGAAGAAAGCACAACGTGAGGAGGATTCAAGCAAGACAGAGCTGTAGTTGCTGTGGAAACCATAGTACTGATCTGTAACTGACTTAATAATGGATGGATTCACTTCTTGGAAACAATTTCTAAAACTTATTTACTGAAATCTTTCACAATGGGAAGGTTCTATGGTTTTGTTTTGTAAATTTCAGCTCTAGGTGAATTTTTCTGCATAACTAAATCTGAAAAATTGGAGGATTTTTTTGCCATTGTTTACTTTAAATGCAGATGTACAGCATAGATGCTGATTCTATAGGGCTGATGTGAGCTCGATAGTCACAGTCAAAAATTAAAAAGAAAAAAATCATTGCTACCTCTGTATTCTTAATGCTTTTTTCCAGTTGGTCTTTGGGGACATTTCACATCTAGCTGGAAGAGGCACTGTAGTCTCTAGTCTGAAACATTAATAGCCAGCACACCAAAAGTGGCAGCTCAATTACCTATGGATTGGGACCCTATTAATCCTTTCTTATAGCGTTATCTACTTGGTCTATACCAAAGGCTGCTGGCAGGGAAATCTCTCTGAATTTCTTTCCAAATATAAAGTTGGCAGATAACATCTATTCTCTCTCTCTCTCTAGATATATAGCTTCAAAGGAAACAAAGATCTTAGATTTTCATTTTTTTATGTGTGAAACTAGTTTTGCTTCAGTGAAACCCAAACTTTTTAATAATGTTAAATATTGTAATATTTTTAGGTTCTGAGTAGAGTCATTTTTGAACTGTCAATTTATGGCATAAATGCTCATTAAAAAAAATCCTCCCTATTGACATTTAGGGGTAATATAATCATAGTAACAGCAGAGCACTCTTAATTTTGAGATTAAAAGAAAATTGATTCTATCAATTATCACAGCTACCAGCCAAAGTAAATGTAAATCTTTGTTCCAAATCTTCAGTTATTAATACTTATTAATACTATTTTTGACTTCTGTCATGGGTACTATATGGTAAACTTGGTAAATTAATACAATTTGCCAATGGCCTGCTTTTGAAACCTATGAAGTGACCAAATCCTTGTATAACAAAACTCTAGGGCCTCCATATTTTCGCCACAGGATAATGTTGTTACACCAATTTCATTGTTAAATTGTTTCTTTTTGTAGAGACCGGATAAGAAAGATTGTCAATGCAGCAGAATAATATTTTGAAATATTACTGGATGTATTTTTCCATCTTAGTAATTTTCTTTTACCCTCAGCCTGAAGAAATGCATGTCTTAGAGGAGAGAGAATACATCGCTGGTGAGGAGAGTCATACTCTTGGCTTTGAGTTTCAAAGACAGTCTTCAAAGCCAGAGCTTTAAACTCTGAGGACAAGGTTCTTGATATGAGAACATTTTTGTTACTGCTATTTTATTTTTTTAATTCTATTTTTTTTTCACATACAAGTCCTTTATTGAAACATGTATATAAACATCGGTGAAAGCATAACAGCCTCAGGCTATGGGCACGGGCTAGTGGCCTCCATAACTCTGAGTTCTAGTAGTTTTTCAATTTTGAGATAGTCTCACTACGGTGATTATGATGGCCGAAATGATGACACCGAGTATGACAAGGAGGCTCAGAACCAGGGCCCAGATGTTGAGGCACTTGGCGGTGGACGCGTAGCTCTGGGCCCCAATCACGTCACCCACCATCTTCCGATCCCTAGACTTCACGGAGTAGGCAAATGCCACAAAGCCCAGGCAGAAGGGGTTAAAGAAGAGGGTGTTGAACAGGGACCAGACGATGTGGTCAGGCACGACGGTCTCGCTGCGGATGTTGACCACGGTGGACATCACTGGCCCCGAGCCCTGGGGCGCCCCCAGCACGGCAACCTCGTGCTCCTCTTTCAGCATCTCATATGTTGGGGGGACTCCGGTGTGGAGGCCAGTGAAGAAGGTCTGGGAACTGCGGTTCATGGTGCCGACACAGAGCAGCTGTGGTCAGGTTCCGGCCCTATTTTTTTAATTCTAAAGCTTAAATATCGAGACAAAGTGTGGAGATCTCGGAACATAGAGTTGATACAATAAACAAAAAAAAACCAAGAAGAGTTTTTCAATAAACACAGAGCATTTTCCTACAATGCAGAGAGAAGACAGAAGCAATTATGGGATGGACGAGAAGCTTGGCAGAGAGGGACAGGAGAAATTTTCTTTGAGTCTTGGTAGAGAGGGCAGTGGGATCATGAAAGACAAAGCACTCAGTTAAGTTTGCGGACCTGATGGTAGAGGGGATTTTTGCCCCATTCCTATCTGGGAAAATATAGCTTCCCAGGCGAGGTTCTGGGAAGGGAGGACCTGAGGCAGTCCCATGGAGATCATATGGCCCCAGAGGGGAGCCTAACAGCTGAGAATTTCCTGTTTTCTCGAAGACACAGGCTAAGACTGGTTGCAAGTCAATGGACCCAAAGAAACTTCATAGTTGGGATGAATAAGAGTTAGAAGAAGTGCAGGAGTGAGTGTGGGTGTTTTTGTAGTGGGTTCCGTGAGGAGAGAGGCCAAGGAATGCCTAAGAATGGGAGAAAGTAGTGTTAACATCCAGACAAGGATAGCATATCTCATGGACCACACCACCCTCCAAAGGGGTGCAAAGCCCTGGAACTTATGTTAGCTCTGAGTATTGAATACTGACTTACTGAGTATTTACCCAAAAGAAACTGAGTATAACCTGGAGGTGACTGACTGACCTTTAATCAATACATTTGAAATTCCCACCATCAGCAGAAATAAGGACCCAGGAGCTAAGCTCAATTATAGAAATAAAGACATTTATTTTTTATATTAGATTATTGTCTTTTTAAATTCTAGAGATTCTATTTGACTCTTTTTAAAACACTGCTTGGACAATTTTTATAGATCACTCCTTTTAGATATTTTCAAGGTTTGAAAATCTCTTGAAATCAAAGCACGTTCTTTTAATCATCCGAGTGTCAGAATTCACTCGTATCTGACGTGTCTGAGTGTCTGATTCTGCTGTCCCTCCTGCTTCTGGTTCACGGTGCCTCGTGACCTTTATGTGCTTCGTGACCTTTGACTCTGCTGCTCCTACCACTTGGGAAGGTGTATGTGGGGATTCTCAAGGGCCTCATGAGATGAGGATACCTTCCTCTGGAGAAGGTTTGCATTTGCGTCTTTTGGGTGCTTGGTACGTTATCAGCTTGGTACTACTCTAAACTAGATTTTCAGCAGTGGTACAAATGTGGGGCTGCATATTTGGGCTTCAAATGTTCCTATGGTTACAGTCTCTCGGGGCTGGGTTCCTTTTTCTTTTTCTCCTGCCCTGCTCTGTCCTGGGCAAAGCAAGTCCTTCTGTGGCTCTCTGAGGGGGACTGGAAGGGAGGGGCTGACTTCCAGAGTAGCCCTTTGTGTTCCACTGTAATAGGGGGTTCTCCTATTATATTCTCCACATTTGGTGGGCCTGGGGATCCGATTTCCATCCCTCTCACCCCAGGAATCCATTGAAGCCACAGCTCAGTTTCATCGTCCAAATAGGCAAATGGCCTTGGAACAAAAGCAGCTTCTAATGCTTGGCCTACTTTTCCTGTGTTCTCATTTATTCTAGGTTTTGGCCCGGTAATGCCTTACTATGTTTTGGTTTATTGATGTTTCTAATAAAGATGAAAGCTTATTTTATTCAGTATTTTTAGTAATTTTCAGTGGGAGGATTGGTTTGAATAAATTAGCTCAGCATTGCTGAACATGTCATACCTGAGTTATGTGAGTGTGAATTCATGCTCACTAAATCTATACTGAGGTAAGAAAAAAAAAAAAGTGTTCTGAAATCCAGAAAGGATAAAGAGAACTGATAGAGTAATGTTTTTTCCCTTTTTCAAGTTCCTTGTAGTTTTTGTAATTAGAGCAAATTGGTTAGGTTGGGGGACTTAAACAAGCTTTTCTCATAAGAATAGTAGAGCTATTTAAGAAGAAAATGTGAGAAAAATTGATTGGCATTTGTTGATTACAGAATTAAAGCATTGTAAATCATTGTCCTTTACTTGCCCGCCCCCCAAATTTTGTATCTTTCATTTTATTTTATTTTATTTTTTATTTATTTATTTTTTAAAAGATTTTATTGGGGAATTGGGGGAGGGGAACAGCACTGGGGAATCAGGGGAAGGGGAACAGACAAGTTGCTGTTGTTTTGTACTTCAGTCTAGTTGTGGAGGATGTTGTTTCACTGGCCCAAGCTGGCACCATCATTGTGCTCTTCCCGGGCGAGGCAGATCAGTCGCCGGCTTCTGGACAGCCGCTCACTGCGGCTGCTGGCCACTCACGCTGGCTGCCAGCTACACATGGTAGCCCATGGCAACCCACTGCAGCAGAGGCTGCAGCCTACGCCATCGCCAGCGACCCATGACAGCCCAGCTCCAGGTTGAGCTGTTGTTCAGCATCTTAGCTGTAGAGGGCAGTGTCACTGGCCCTCATATGTGGGATCCGAACCGGGGCCCTCTGGCATCCCAAGCGAGTTCCTAACCAACGCACCACTCAGCCGGCCCTGTATCTTTCATTTTAAACAGAATCTGAAACATAGGTAAGAAGCAGACAAAGAAACAATTATTCATAATTATTTTTTAAGTAACTGGGAAAATAAAAACCCTTTATTTTCAGTTTTGACATTAAGACATGAAATAGCTTTGCATTGAATTTTGTGTCATTTCCTATAATGTATTTAATTACTTTATTAATTAAAAATTAGCAAATTTTCATCCTATGGAAGGATGCAAAACTAATGAGACCAAGTTCCTATTGCAGAACTTAACAATCTCTTTGAAGAGGACACGCACATAAAAAATGTCAGCTCCACAACAGGCACGGACTGTTTCGCTTAATACTATATTTCTAGGGCCAAGTGCAGGTCCTGCTACAGAGTGGTGGCTTAGTACATATTTGCTGAATGAAAGAAATAACTGAGACGGGTATAATTTTACAAGTTGGGAAGGAAACCGACCCACTGGCATCCCTGAGGTTGGCAGGTTGAGTAGGACCCAGCTGCGTCTTGAGGAAGGTTTTCAAGTTTGATGGACGGACCACAGAATGTGGACAAGGAAGCCTCGAAGTGGGTGAGAGTGGGAGCGGTTTCATGCAAAGGAAATAATGTGTTTGCAGACAGGGAAGAGATAGTGTAGGTTTAATTTAGGACAGTGTTTTAAAAAAAATTTATTCTATCCACCAGAGTCTTATCTTCAAATGAATTTTATGGGGAAGCATAAGTGGAGGTCTGGTTGGAAAGGAGATGGACAGCCCTCGAGCAAATCGGCCACCTGCCTCCTCTATGGCCTTCTACATAACCTCTAGGGTTCTGCCAAGCAGAGTTTGAAGGCAGTTTATGTTGGCCCAAGTGGACAATTGGGTGGGGAGGAGCTGGGGAAAGGCCAATGAGGAGGCATTGGGAGGGCAGAGGGAAGGCCTTTCACCATCAAGAGATAGATCTAAATATAATGAGATGATCCGCAGGAGCCCTGCTAGGTTCTCATAGAAGGGATGAGTTAGTAAATCTAGACTATTGAGGGGGAGTACTCCAAAAATGATTAAAGGAAAACACAAGGGCAGGAAACCAGATAAGAGACAGTTGCAGTGACCCAGGCATGAGCTATGAGGGTCTGAAGTTTAATGTTCATATGAACTATCTAGGTAACTTATTTAAAAGGCAGATTTCTAAATCCCACTTTGATACATTCTGAATCAACAGGTTTGAGATGATGCTCAGGAATCTGAATTTGAACAAGCATCCTTGATAATTCTGATGCAAGATCTAACTTCGAGAAATACTTATAACTAAAGATTCCTCACTTCTACTTTCCTCCTTTTTGTCATTTTTATAGTTAAAAGTATAACAGGAATAAGGAGGAAAAGCTACTTAAGTCAACACCATGTTAAATTGAAGGCATCAGTGAAATATACAAATGACACATTGGTTTGACTGTGAGTTACGAAATTTGAGCCCAAAGGAAATTTTATGGGGTGTGTGTTGGCAAAATAGCCCCAGTTGCCAAGGGACCCAGATCAAGTAAGGTCATGTTCAGATGCCATGTTTTGTCTCGTGTGCTTAGGTCACCAGATGGTCAGTCCATTCCAGTCATTTTTCTATGATAATATCCTCAGGGGATGTCTAGATGTAGTACATTATTTTCCCTCTAGATTTTCCACACATGTAAATGGACATGAAATAATGAAGCAGCTGAACTTTGATGAGATGCAGCAGCCATTTTCTTAGCTGGAGCTGAGGTCTTTCCTAGACTCATTTCATGCTCAACTGGCTTTTCTGGAAGAAATTATTGAACATTAGCAGTTGTCTTCTTTAGACACTTGGTATTTATTTAACATGAGAAAGGAAAAGAGAAGGAGAGAAAACTAATATTTCCTGAGTGCTTACTCTGTTACTAGGCCTTTTAAATACGTTATCTCATTTAGAGGTGGGATTATTTTTATGTTAAAGATGAGGAAATTGAGGCTCAGAAAGGATAACCAACTGAGGTTGATACAACTGAATTGAGTTGCTTCAGGTCCCTCACAGCAAGACAACAGGGGGAATTACTACAAATAGGAAAGAAGATAGAAAAGAAAAAGTTTTGACCACTTGTGGCCATTGAGAATGTGCCTGGTTATTGAGAATAATGTATATGTCCTGCTGGAAGGGTTGGGTTTGTACAGGAGCTTCTCTGCAGAGTTCCAGCACCCCCTTCTTGGACAGATAACCCAGGAACTGGGCTCCGTGTGACACTCAGCTGAGAATGCCTCAGGCTACTCCCTGTCTTCCCATTATCTCCCCAGGCACATGTGCAGACTGCAGGGGCTGGATTCAGCTTCAGCCTTCCAGAGACTCTTTGTAAATGGAGTGAACAGAGGGCAGAGGGGGTAGTGATTTGCCCAGAGTCACACAGAAAGACCGTATGATTGGGAGCAGAAAACAGACCTCTTAGATACAGGGCAGGGGCTCAGGGGCTACCTTGA